AGGAGATCGGGCTGAAACTATAGCTACAAGCTATCCAAGGATGGTACTATTGAATGTCACCTCAAGGTAGGCCTAGTGGCGTCATCTCTTGGTTAGGCCGGAAACTTATCAATCCACCCTCGTATGCTTGGCATGTGTCCGATGAAATTGTAGGATATTTAATAATATATTTTTCATATTTTCTTGTTTTTACTATTTTCTCCTGGATCGCTATCATGAATCCCTCAGTTTCTGAAAATATATTTTCTTTCTTTAACCACATATTAGAAGCTTCTTTATCTGTATGATCCTGCTGTTGTTGGTTCTGGTATTTTCATGAAGGGCTTTTGATTTCCACATTCCAGTTTTGAACTTTTCTTTCATAATTTTGCCTTCTGGATTAAAATCTGCGTCATTAAGGTATAGTGGTGTACTAGAGGTTGAAACTACTATTTTGTAGATGATATTATTGTATTAGAAATGCGCATGCTCATAACGTAGTTCTCCGTGACCCGTAAGGATTTCTCCTGTCGAAACAGAGAGTTTGTTTATTCCACTCCCAGCGGTTTGTAGGAGAAATGAAGATCTCTGTCTGCCTTCATCTTTTTTTTATTCCCTAGTCCCTATACAGTCCTGAAGCGGCCCACAAAGGCGACAGGAAGAATTTGTGATTATTCCCAATTTGTTCATGTGATAGTGCAGTTTTCCGTAAACCATAAGGATTTCCACAAAAGTCTTATATTTTCTCCTGTCGAAACAGAGAATTTGTTTTTCCCACTACCAGTGGTTTGTAGGAGAGATAAAGGCCTTTGCCTGCCTACATCTTTTTTGTGTTACCCAGTCCCTATAGAGCCCTGAAGCGACCCACAAAAAAGAGACAGGAAGAATTTGTGGTTGTTCCCAGCTTGTTCCTGTGATAGCGCAGTTCTCCGTGACCCGTAAGGATTTCTACTAGCCTTAGATGTTCTCCTGTCGAAACAGAGAATTTGTTTTTCCCACTCCCAGTGGTTTGAAGGAGAGATAAAGGCCTTTGCCTGCCTACATCTTTTTTGTGTTCCCCAGTCCCTATAAAGCCCTGAAGCGGTTCGCAAAAAAAGCGACAGGAAGAATTTGTGGTTATTCCCAGTTTGTTCCTGTGATATAGAGCAGTTTTCTGTGACTCGTAAGGATTTCCACTACAGTCTTATATTTTCTCCTGTCGAAACAGAGAATTTGTTTTACCCACTCCCAGCGGTTTGTAGGAGAGATAAAGGCCTTTGCCTACCTACACCTTTCTTGTTCCCCAGTACTTACAAAGTCCTGAAGCGGCCCACAAAAGCGACAGGAAGAATTTGTGGTTATTCCCAGTTTATTCCTGCGATAGCGCAGTTATCCGTGACCAATACGGATTTCCACTACAGTCTTAGATTTTCTCCTGTCGAAACAGAGAATTTGTTTTTCCCACTCCCAGTGGTTTGAAGGAGAGATAAAGGCCTTTGCCTGCCTACATCTTTTTTGTGTTCCCCAGTCCCTATAAAGCCCTGAAGCGGTTCGCAAAAAAAGCGACAGGAAGAATTTGTGGTTATTCCCAGTTTGTTCCTGTGATATAGAGCAGTTTTCTGTGACTCGTAAGGATTTCCACTACAGTCTTATATTTTCTCCTGTCGAAACAGAGAATTTGTTTTACCCACTCCCAGCGGTTTGTAGGAGAGATAAAGGCCTTTGCCTACCTACACCTTTCTTGTTCCCCAGTACTTACAAAGTCCTGAAGCGGCCCACAAAAGCGACAGGAAGAATTTGTGGTTATTCCCAGTTTATTCCTGCGATAGCGCAGTTATCCGTGACCAATACGGATTTCCACTACANAAGAAATACGTCCACGCAACGCTGCACTTATTCATTTTCTCCTGTCGAAACAGAGAATTTGTTTTTCCCACTGCCAATGGTTTGTAGGAAATATGAAGGCCTTTGCCTGTCCTGAAGCGGCCCACCTCGCAATTTCTTCCTTGACCAGGCTGCTGTGTAGATACTCACAACAGATTCTGGATCGATGTTTTAGCTAAGTCGTATACGAGCTCATTTCCCATTATGCCCATATGGCTCGGGACTCAAACCAAAACCACCTTGTTTTAAGTCGATAGTCTGTGGGGGGTTGTCCTCAAACTATTTCGACTTTGTTGAGTACCCTCTGAGCGCCTCTAGAGTAGTAGGCATAACGTACAGTCCGTACGAGACAACACGTGCCGTATGTCGTTAAGTAATTAATTCGCAATGAAGCTGATAAAGACGCGATAAAGGCATTAGTTGATGTGAACCGGCGAATAACAACACGTGAGATCGGATTGAGGTTAAATTTATCAAATTCAACAGTTTATGACCACTTGAAAGGCCTGGGATTATCCTCGAAGCTCGATGTATGGGTTCCCCATGTTCTCACAGAGAGAAATCTGTGTCGCCGCATTGACGTCTGCGATTCGCTTCTCAAACGTCACGAAAATGATCCGTTTTTGAAGCGCATCATCACTGGGGACGAAAAATGGGTTGTATACAACAACGTCAAACGCAAGAGGTCATGGAGCAAAAAAGATGAACCGGCTCAAACCATTTCCAAAGCCGATATTCACCAAAAAAAGGTGATGCTGTCTGTTTGGTGGGATTTTAAAGGAATCGTTTTTTTTGAGCTTTTACCGGATAACACAACGATTAATTCGGAAGTCTACTGTCATCAGCTGGACAAACTGAATGATGCACTTCAACAGAAAAGGTCAGAACTAATCAACAGGAAAGGTGTAGTGTTTCACCAAGACAACGCGAGACCTCACACAAGTTTGGTCACTCGCCAAAAGCTTTTACAGCTTGAATGGGATACAATGCTACACCCACCATATTCTCCAGACCTGGCACCATCGGATTATTATTTGTTCCGGTCACTCCAAAATTTTTTAGACGGTAAAACCTTCACCTCAAATGAGGAGGTCAAAAACCTCCTCGATCAGTTTTTTGCCAGCAAAGACCAAAAATTTTATGAGCATGGAATTATGCTACTACCAGAAAGATGGCAAAAGGTGTTGGACCAGAACGGTCAATATATAATTTAATAAAGTATTTGTTTATTATAAGAAAACTGTCTTTCATTTCCACAAAAAAAAACGAAATGACTTTCCGAAGAACCCTATAGAAAATTTATTACGTTTTCTTTAATCGCTTGTCGATTATTTCGATTGTAAAATTATTCCGTAATTGCGCTTCACTATGGTGAATGCGCTGGACAGAAAGAATTCTTTATTCTAATTAAAAATACAGTTTGTTATTTTCACAAGATATATTATATACGTATACTCAGAGAACCTCTAACAACAATTTCGATTTTTAATCGTTTTCAATGATCCAAACAATACAAGAACAATTTTGTCCCAGTTAGTATCGCAATTTCTATTGATTTCATTAAAATTTCTTACAATACATTAAGTAGCTATCTACAGAGTGTAATAATGGAAATAAACCGCGGTTGCAGGAGGTGATAGAGCACTATAAAACATGAAAATTAGGTAAATGTTTATATGTTCGCAAGTTCATCATTTGAAAGTACAGGTAAATTCAATTCCGACCCTGGTAAAGAAATACGTCCACGCAACGCTGCACTTATTCAGCTGGTGATTATTTCTTTTGTATTTTTTTTCTCATGTATTCTTTATTTTTTAGATTAGATTAATTGTGATTTAGGTTTTAGGGTGTTTATGTCAACAGTCAACCTCTAGTAGTCGTTTTTTATTTTACCGTTTAAATCTTGTATGAAGCAATCGATGTGCACTCTAATAAACTATTATAATTCAGCAATACAACATCAATCATTAGTGTAGGTCAGTTTATATACGGGATTGAACCATATAGCCGCTATAGGGACGAAATCCTCGATTTCAAAGAAAACGATCCCACAACAGTAACTCAAATTTTAAATTTTCACAATAATTACTATTGCGGAGATGCAAATTCGCATGTCGTACATCCTTTGCAATTTCAAGAACTGTTTTCGGTAAAACTGTGGTGCGAAATTTTTGGAAACTTATTTGATTTACTCAATGATGATGTGGAAATTTTCCTTTATGAAATTGCAATTATTGAGATGATGGTCTTTTACCGGATAATGTTTACGTATGTTACATTTTTCCTTTCTTTTGTGTTCCAACATTTACACGGTACTGCTTGTAATGTACTTATTTAATTTATTCAGTCTAAACATTATGTGTAGTACTTAATTGTTTATGCTTATCGTAGACGTTCGATAATCGACAATGTTTACATTATTCGTCCATGTAGTTGCAGAGTTTTAATCGCACTTCGCTATTCGGTAGACGTCTACTGTATATGTTGCTAATTCACGCACAGGATCGGCTTGTGATTTTCTTAAACAATTTTTCGCCATTAACCACGCTGCTGAATTCACCGTGCGATTATTTATTGCAACTAATTTACACCCTCTAAAGTTCGGCACCTATTTCTGTTACACCTTGATTGATTAAATATTAATAAAATTAAATATAAAAGGAAAAGAAGTTTTAGAATCAGTAAATTGATCTTCATTTAACTATAACTTCTGACAGATCGTACATACTTATTTTACGGTCCCCTTCTGCATATGGTATAACTATTAGGTATATAGATATACAAAAGATTCATCCCTTATGAAAATGAAAATAAAATTTGATATCTCAGAAAACTCACCTGTTGTAATATTGATGTGCGGTACTATAAGTTTGTGGATAATCTTTATCGTAAACTGAACCTATATCGACTGGTGAGCTGTAAATTGAGCTTGTTTCTTGAGAAAATGCTATCACATCTCCATCTACCAACCCTGGACTTTTTACTTCCGTTTTTACCTCTGCAAAAAAATACCTACGTTATAGTTACCTATCATTTACCAAACTTAGAAGTACACAAATACAACGTAATAAAAAACAATATACCTACACGTAAGAAATAAAAATTTTGCTTCAAACATTAAGTACCTATACACTTAAGTTTGTTATAATATTCAAACATTTTTATTTTCCACGTTTTTAGGCCGCAACACCTAGCAGAGATGATAACATTTTAAGTAAAAAATCAATCTAGATGGCATAAACTATAGTGGCGCAACAAATACGGTTTTTATGACTACGCGATTACTATTACTTATAACAAATAAACTATTAGGTATATGACACACTTTAACATTTTTAATAGTGGTTAATACGAAATATTAATGTGAAAATTCATTTTCAATTTTTTACCCAGTATAAACTACCTAAGGTTAATGAGGGAAAAACGTAAAGCCGAAGGTCCCAGGTTCGATTCCCGGCGGGGGTGTGTCAACAGCAACAAATTTTCCCTCTTTAACCTGAGGTAGTTTATAGTGGGTAAAATATTAAAAATGAATTTTGACATTAATTAAATAAGATTATTAGAGGTGTACGCCTGGAGTGCAAAACATGGACGGTGCGATGCGGCGAAAAAGAAAAGGTTAAAAGCGTTCGAAATGTGGTGTTACACACGAATGATGTAGATGAAGAAGGTTAGAAATGAAAAGGCATTAGAAAGCATATTAGGAGAAAGGAGGGCTTTATGGAAGACAATAAAAAATAGGCGAGATATGTTGCTAGGACACGTTCTTAGACATGACGGGCTAGTCAGAGACATATTCAAAGCAGAAACAGGAGGTAAGAGTAGATGTAGACCTATATTAGATTACTGTTTACAAATAGTTAGGGATGTGCGATCTTCTAATTTTAAGGTAAATGCGAAAATTAGCTCAGGATATGAAAGAGTGGAGGTGCGTGTCCAACTAATCTTAGAACTGACGACTTATCAAACATCCCAAGGATTCCATAGATATAGAACTATTTATTATAGAAAATTCTGAGATTTGGGATATTCCAAAGGAAAAATACAGGCATAATAGCAAGAAGAAGCAAGCAAGCACAAACTACTTCTATGTACACTACGTACACGCAGAAACTGATAATTATCGATATATCGATAACTATCGATCGGTATATCGATATATTCGATAATTATCAATATGTCAATAGCTATATTATTAATGAATATATATAGATATATCGATGTATTGATAACTGTCGATAATTATCGAACATGTATATCGATAACTATTTGTTGTAAAAACGGAAAATTCCTGTTATTTAAGTGAAAATTATAAAATGCCACCTGTAAATATTAATATTGAGGCTCATCATATTTTAACAGGATTTATGTCTAGCCCGACTAGGAATTCTAGGGGGCATGTCCCATGTAGTGTGCGGGTCTCATGTGGCTTATAAGTAGGGTTGCCACCTTTTCAGGCTTTACATAAAGTATTTCTCGACTAAAAGGTTCAAAAAAAAAGTACTCAGCATAAAAATAAAGTATTTTATTTTTTGTTTTTAAAAACATACTTTTTGTTACACTTAGCAGCCAGTAACAAATTTCTGTCGCTCTTAAATACATTAATAGCCTCTAAACATGCCAAACAAAGATTTAAGTAAACTAAAAGTTCATTTTTAATTAGTTTTAATGAAGCTTTATTCCTGTCGTCCCGCCACTATACGTTCATAACAGAGAATAGTCTTTCCGTAAATGCTGAAGTGGCCGGAACGAAAGTGACACTACTTTGAACAGATTTGGGAAATCAAGTTGTTACGTTTAAATATGGATTGGTATTTTTCTGTGCAATGTTATTGATGTAAAAATACTCTGAATTTCGAATAATCGCTTACAAAATTACGATATTTACTTAAGGGCGTAAATAAAGTATTTTTGCTTCTTGTAAAGTATAACGTACGCACAGTCGAAATAGAGTACAATACTAAGTACAGGTGGCAACCCTACTTATAAGGGGCATGCCGATATAGGGATTTCCCCATAGATTCTTCATGAAAAAAAAAGTGGTGATACTAAAATGAGGATTGCCTTATGGGTTTTTATATGGGTCTTAAGGAGCAAACCTATCACACGAATAAGCTTACAATTAAATCTACCTTGTGAAAATATTCTCAGTAAAATGAAAAAACTAATAATTCCCTTGCCCAATTATGTCGCCATTTCAATGAAATCTTTTACATATCGATAGTTATCAGTTGCTAATATTGTTAAGAGTATTGTCGTCCGTGTGGTTTTCAGTCCAAAGACTGGATCTGATACGCCAATCTTGACACATTTCACGAAAACTAAAACAACCCGCACCTCTAACTATTTGCAAACAGTAACCTCAATTCTTGATGCTCCATCTGATATTTCTCTAGCTAGTCCTTCATGTTTCGTACAACCTATGTTGTATGTTTCTTATAGACTTTTACATTAGAACCCTCTAGTCCCCCTCTGTTTCTACCTTCCTCATTTCTAGCGTTTTCTTCCTCGTTTTTTTTTTTTTAATATTAACTTGCACAATTCCACATCTCAAAAATTTCTAATCTTTGTTTTTCTTTTCCGCAGCGTCTTCTGTTCACGTTTTACGCTCATACCAAAGCCGTACTCTCAACAATTCAATTCTTTTAATCTTAATCTTTTTTGGTTTTTCGAATTAACCGGCAAACAAAACCGACTTCTTTTTGTGTAAAACGACCCGACCCTGAGCTATTCTTTGTTTTTTTTTATCTCTAGCACATTCTTCATCCTGAGTTATCTGACTCCTTAAATAACGATAAACCGCAACTTCTAGGTTTTCATCCCCTCTGTTGTTGCTTTAACTCTAACCCTATTTTTACATCTTTTACATAGCAATATTGTTTTTTTATATGTTTTTATTAATTTTTATACGGCACACTCTTCTTTCAATACCGCTTTCATTTTATTTAAGGACATCTCTAAATCCGCCTTGATAAATACTACATCAACCGCAAATGTAAACATGCTAATTTTTTTGTTCCTGATGTGTAGGTGTGTAGTGGAATATTTAGATTTCGTGTCGCCCCGGATTAAATAAATCTAGCCGCCCTACCATCAGAAAAACTACTTAATATACAATTAACGAATTTATTTAAACAACTGCTTGGCAGTATTAAGTAATTTTCCTTTTATAATAAACTAGCGACCCGTCCCAGCTTCGCACGGGTGTAATGCTGATACTAAATATATTTTTGTTTTGTTTAAATTATTATCGAGAGGGGAAATCTTAAATAGACAACCCCTGAACACATTAAATCAGCAACAAATTTTCCCTCTTTAACCTGAGGTAGTTTATAGTGGGTAAAATATTAAAAATGAATTTTGACATTAATTAAATAAGATTATTAGAGGTGTACGCCTGGAGTGCAAAACATGGACGGTGCGATGCGGCGAAAAAGAAAAGGTTAAAAGCGTTCGAAATGTGGTGTTACACACGAATGATGTGGATGAAGAAGGTTAGAAATGAAAAGGCATTAGAAAGCATATTAGGAGAAAGGAGGGCTTTATGGAAGACAATAAAAAATAGGCGAGATATGTTGCTAGGACACGTTCTTAGACATGACGGGCTAGTCAGAGACATATTCAAAGCAGAAACAGGAGGTAAGAGTAGATGTAGACCTATATTAGATTACTGTTTACAAATAGTTAGGGATGTGCGATCTTCTAATTTTAAGGTAAATGCGAAAATTAGCTCAGGATATGAAAGAGTGGAGGTGCGTGTCCAACTAATCTTAGAACTGACGACTTATCAAACATCCCAAGGATTCCATAGATATAGAACTATTTATTATAGAAAATTCTGAGATTTGGGATATTCCAAAGGAAAAATACAGGCATAATAGCAAGAAGAAGCAAGCAAGCACAAACTACTTCTATGTACACTACGTACACGCAGAAACTGATAATTATCGATATATCGATAACTATCGATCGGTATATCGATATATTCGATAATTATCAATATGTCAATAGCTATATTATTAATGAATATATATAGATATATCGATGTATTGATAACTGTCGATAATTATCGAACATGTATATCGATAACTATTTGTTGTAAAAACGGAAAATTCCTGTTATTTAAGTGAAAATTATAAAATGCCACCTGTAAATATTAATATTGAGGCTCATCATATTTTAACAGGATTTATGTCTAGCCCGACTAGGAATTCTAGGGGGCATGTCCCATGTAGTGTGCGGGTCTCATGTGGCTTATAAGTAGGGTTGCCACCTTTTCAGGCTTTACATAAAGTATTTCTCGACTAAAAGGTTAAAAAAAAGAAATACTCAGCATAAAAGTAAAGTATTTTATTTTTTGTTTTTAAAACATATTTTTTGTCTGTCGCTCTTAAATACATTAATAGCCTCTAAACATGCCAAACAAAGATTTAAGTAAACTAAAAGTTCATTTTTAATTAGTTTTAATGAAGCTTTATTCCTGTCGTCCCGCCACTTTGCGTTCATAACAGAGAATACTCTTTCTGTAAATGCTGAAGTGGC